CTGTATACCTAAAATGTACCAATAAAAGAACTTAAGGAAAAAAAATCAGCATGTCTCAAATTTAGGAAGACACCAATACCTATCCTTGGTTTCTGGCTTGCCCCTCAACAAAGCCAGAAAAAATTGAATTTAGTTTTATTCTTTGCTTCTTTTTACTCAGTCTATTCCCTGGTAATTCTCATGCTCAGAGCTTCTTTTAGATCTTTACTTCCTCTGTGCCTAGCCTCTATCCTAGTGCATTTCCTTCACAAGTCTAGTGTGAAATGACCCAATGTGTTTCTCTGCTCTGTCCAACCAAACTGTGTTCTCTATACTTTCATGGTTATCATTCTGAAACAAAGCTTTGTTTCTGCCACATGTATTCTTTAGATCCTCCCTTCCATGCTCCTGAAATATAATTATTTTCCATAGCACACATGACTCTCTGGCCTAAGTGGGTTTTTTTCACCCCATCATTTACACATTTTTCAGCATTTGTGTTCCTACCTCTTCGTAATTTAAGCACTTCACTTAACCTGTCATTTTCTATATGTGCCCAATTCTAAGCCTGAATGCTTTGTTTTAGTTCTTTTTGTTTAGAATAAAGGCCATCTTTCTTCATATTTGGTCACTAAACTCATTCTTTTCCTTTCAGACTAAGCATTAAATTTACTTTCTGCAAAAAATATGCCAATTCTTTGAGGCAGAGTTATGTTTGAATTCCCTGCTCTGATTGTATTTTACCTCTTGCTAATAAAGGTGACACATTAAAGTCATTTTTTCTTTGTAGTCTTTGTTAGGGTATGAACTCCTTTAGGGTAGAGAAATTTATTCATTTCTATGCCCCAGTGTTTACCAGAGATTGTGATAGATAAATTAAGAAAGTTCACTAAATGCTAAATTGGATTACAAGAAAGTGTTGAGTCTAGGCCATACAGGATAATGTGAGGTAATAGTGACTTTCATACTTTTTGGACATAAATCACAGTAAGACAAACATTTAGCTTTGGGGTCAATGGAGAGAGATCAAACAAAATGGTATATGTTTAAGTAAAATAAAACGTATTAGACTGAATGGCATGTTGCTTAATCCCCTGATGTCTTGGACTAATTTGAAAGGCTTACCTTTCATGGTCATTTTGATGAGATAGGTCCAGAATTTGTGCCCTGCTGGCTCAGGTGAACAAGGTGGATGAGGACACACCATAATATTTTTATGTGCCTGCCTTTATATCAGACGGCATTTGGCAATAGCATTCACCAAATTTTTGATAACACCTTGTAAAGACATTTACAGAAAAGGACCTCCAGAACTGCTTCAAAAAGTGGCAAAAGTTATGAAATAAGTGTATTTGAAACAAGAGGGAGAATTTTGAGGAGGATTAATGGCAACATGTTTCACTGTAATAATATTTTTAAAAGAAATTAAACATTCACCATATTTTTTATCACCTCTTGTACTATTCACATATGTTTAGTTAGATGCATTAAAGTGGTATCTACTCTCCATTTTCAATAAACTCTAATGACTCCTATTATTTCTCTTATCTTATATTTGTTTAAAATTTTCATTCCTGCTCCTTAAATTGAGTGCTTAATTAAATAATGTATGGTCATCTCCATTGATGTTTACAAACTATTAGTTTAGGGCACCAGAAACAAACTTTACTGATCTCACAAATTTTCCCCAAGGTGGATCCTATAGGTCTCTCAAATAATACTACAATATCTAACATACTCAGAATTTTCTTATTAAAATTCTTTGGGTGATGGAGATTGCACTTTACAATTGCAGCTGAAAGTTGTTTTAAATTTTATGAACTTAAAGATTTTATGAAAAGAAAGCACTAACTCACCATGCATATTGAAAATTGAGTTGTATTCCCAATCATTCATAAGAGCCTAGCACATTAGAAATAAATTTAATGATAAACACAACAGGATAAAATCTATATTTAAATCCTGAATACATATTACCTTCAAGTTGTAGAGAATCCTAATAAGCAATGATTAAATTACTTTTATCTTCCTCATTTTTCAGCTATTATTTTCTATTAAGGAAATTTTATCTTCATATTTCAATATTAAATTTCAAAAACAGTATCTTTGTCTAAACAAAACTACAAAGTGTCTCTAGGAAAATATGCACTTTTGTTACTTAAATTCACACAACTGACTATATTACTATTGGTAACTCATTCTTAAGCACTTGACATATATTTTTCATTTAATATAAGGTAGACTTCTTTCAATACCTAACTGTTGCTAATTCAGTTTTTAAGTGTAACTTGTCTTCAGCTTTCCCACTGTGTTTCTTTTAACCTCTTTACTTTTTAAAGTCTAAAATATGAAGAAAAAAATTATCACTATTAATCTGCAAATAGATTTCTGTACATTCAAGCTTCTTTCTACAGTGTGTTTAGAAACATATAAAAGATACTCTCTGTATTGGCATCATTACCACTTAATCCCTTCACAGTGCTTAAAGATGCCATTCTCTTAGCCTATACTGACATGGCCTTAGAGACTTCATTTGAGTTATTAAAATGGACCAAATTTAGGAAACATGTCTCATATGGTTGATTATTAGAATAATCCATAATGCACCATTCATATGAAGACTATCCAGCCTGCAGGAACTGGTCTCACGTTGTGAGTTCTGTCATGTAATTGTAGAAATGTACATGAGCATTTATTTGTGAGAGTGATACCACAAGCCTCTCTCCCTTTCTCTTTCATGCGTAAGGCAGATGGACAGCAGAGAACTACAGCCAGTTCTGGGGAATGACTCTAGAAGAGGGCTTCACATTTCGCCTGGGCACCTTGGCCCCTAGCCCCATGCTCCTGAGCATGAACGAAGTGACGGTGGGTAGTCTTCCTGATTGATTCATCTGCCTGTGTTTGTGTAAGTGTGTTCACCTGTGTGTTGAAAGAAATCTAAAATAACTAAAATCATAAGTTTTGAGCTTTCAGAGTCTTGGAAATATAAATTTTTTGTCATATAAACATGAAATTCTTTTTAACAAAATGAGTATTAGACCCCTCAAAGGTTTCGCATGGGCTTTGAATGTTCACTACTTTCAATTAGACATAGCATCTTTTAAAGAATGACTGAATGTTCCTTTCTATTGCCAATGATTTCAGAGAAATACATAGTTTTGATGACTGGTTACTGAGTGTTCCAATATTTCAGCCAATCAAGTCTTTATTTATGTTTTTTAGCTAAACATACTGATTTTGTGAGTTCACCAAAACTGTTTTGATGTCTCTTAGACTATTATCACATGAGATTGAAATAAATGCTGAAAATTTCAGACATGCATGCTATGATGATTAAAAAGGATTTGTCCTTAAAAATCCTCAAAATTTCCAGTCAGAGAATACTTTCAGATTTTGCCTGGTGACCTGGCAGACCGCTGTGAAATTACCTCAAGCTTCCTAATGTTCTTATGTTATGTACTACTCTATTGTTTTCTCTTTCATTTGTTAAGAGTTACTATCAACCAATAATAGGTATCTTGCATACAGAAGCTCCTAGCTCTGCAGTAACCACACAGCTACAACTTACTACTGGATGTGTTGCTTCCCAGACAATACACTTTCTTTGTGTGGAGATATTGACTGTATCCAAAGCTCATTACTAGTGTCAGGACACACTTGGGGTCCCCGGCTGCTGGAAGGCAAGCTCTACAGTCTGCAGTGTAGACATCAGCACCCAGCATCTCAGGACAGCATGGGTGAAGTTAGTATTGGATGAGTTGTAAATCTATTGGGGTTTCATCAAGATTTAACTTTCCAGAAATGTAACCACTTGAGTTAATATTTCAATTCAAATTCTAGTAGTAAGGCCTGCTAAATTATAACTGGTATCAGAGAAGATAATAATAACTGGCATTTATTAAGTAGTTGAGTGTAAAGTACATAAGAACTTTCATAGTAAAGTATCTTATTTAAATCTCACAGCAGCTTGGTGTACTGCATATATTATCATTACCTACATTTTAAAGGTAAGTAAATTAAGATTGTGAGAGATTAAGTCACAATGAGTTTAAAAGAGATTAAGAGCTACCACAGAATTAATTACACTGCAAAACTAGTATATCTCCAAAGGTTTGTATTCCAAAAGTCTTTAGAATTTTAGTAGTCTGTTTGCTTTGGCCAATGCAGATTCAAAGTCACAAGAAATCTAATCTTTTAATCAGAGCTAACTCTGAAATGGCCAGTTTAGAGATTGTGGGGTGTTTTCTATGATCAGTAATATAAAGTCTTTATAGATAAGACTCCACTTCATAGTTTTTGATGAGCTAACTGTAGAATTCAGAGTCCTTTCCTTCTCTGTTTTTCTCCATCTCCAGCTGGTTGGAGATAGGGCTGAAGAAGCATTGTTTAAGAAAAGAGTTGGTCTGTGGAAGGATCGCTTTTTCACTTTCTTTGTTGAGGGCCACAGTGAGCTAAACACTGATTTGGATGTTTACATGCAATTCCTCAAGGTTACTTCTGATGTATTTTCAAACTCTAATTTTTGCAGCTGAAGATAATTTATATTCTGGAGGAAATAAGGCACATTTCTTTCCCATGTTGGCACTCACCTTAGCACACCAAAGAAAATACAATTCTAAATCACTTATTGATTCCTGGAGATTTGTTTACATTTGGTACATAAAATAGCCTGGGCAGTGACATTTATATGAAAATTCCTAATGATTATAAGGTGTCAATTATTAAGAGAATTTAAATTTAATTTACTTAGTGCTATAAATTAATGTAATACGGTTGCCAAGTAATTTTAAGAAAGCAATAGGGAAAATTCAGCAGAAGTGTGAGAGTTCCATGACCCATTTATGATGTAAGGCAAGGAACTAGCTTCTTACTTCTAGGGCACAGTAGTTTGAGGACCAATTTTCTGAGTGTTAGAATTATCTTAATGCCTGGCCAAGGAAAAGAGAATCAGAAATATAACAAGTACTTCTGGGAAGAATGTATGGTTAGTGTGAACTGTGTTGATCTGGCAACTAAGAAAGAGCTATGGAATGAGTTAGTTCTTAGCCTGGCAGCTACATAGAAAATACCCAATACATATATCAACCTGCCTCCAAGTACAGGGAAAATGATATTTTTTCCTGTGGTTTTGCTTCTTTATACCTGATATTTCCTTCCCTTTTGCCCACTTTAAAAAATTTGGCAAAGGATGGACTAAAAGTACAGTAGGGATCAGCAGTTCCAATACTGGTATGATTTATAGCATGCACTCTAAGCTATAAATATATAAATATAAATAAAACTCCATGGCACTTAACCCAAATCTCCCCCTTTCCCTGCCTGGATGAGAATTAGGAAATTCTTTGGGTAGGAAAAATGAGTCACGAATCATCATCTCCGATTCTTGGAAAGTGCTTTGCTTCCCTGGCTGATTTCCTGGCCACAGTACTTAGTTTAAGTCATTATTGCCCATAATATGCCTACTGAGCCAGTTAGAGAGCTCTCAATAGGTGCTGTGCAAAGATTGCTATGGCCACATGAATGTGAAGATGCTGTTCAACTTAGATGATTCAGTTCAATCCAAGCACACTCTTATGGAATGATTAGTAACCATTTGGAGCAGAGTTAGGTGGACAGTGGGAAAAGTACCTTAGGGATTGACAGGAGGCCTCTCCTGGGGGGTAACCCAAAGTGAAGACAGACAAAAGGAAATATAAATATATGTGGGTACAAGCAGCCTATGTGAGAGGAGTTAAAAGAAAAAAGAGAAAGGCTGAGAATGGCCTGCAGCTCCTTGGTGAAAATTTGGGAGGAACATCCCATCCAGGTGAACCCAGTCCTGAGGACAGTAGACTTGGCAAACAGAAGGTTCCATAGGTTACCAAGAAAAACAGCCCCTCTGGGAAGAAACTGTGATACGTCAAGGCAAAGGGCTTGGCCAGCACAGCAGGAGTCCAATCTCTACCTGAACACCCAGCAAGGTCCTGTGTGCAGAGCTCTCAGAGTCCCATCAATGAACAACAAATCATGAAATGGCAGATCGTATATTCCTCTGGAGAGCCACACATCCATCAGTATATTGGATATACTGAAAAGTTTTATTTTATTAGCTTTATTTCTCCAGTGTTGCCTAATTTATAAGATTAGAGAACTTTTTTGTTTGTTTATCATGATTAGTAATATCCCCCAGGTCTTAGATTCCACAGTGCACACTTTAAGCAAAAATATTGAAGTGGGAGTTGAAAAAAGAAGTCTATTTTGAGTAAAAATAGAACACTTTCAGTGTCTCAGATAAAATAGAAATAACCAATTATTATGATTATGTGCAATACTCTCCTTGACTCAGGTCATTTTGAGCCAGCACAAACATCAAATTTGAACTCATTTTTGAAAGGCCTGCATAGTAATAGAGATGTAGCTCAGTAGAGCACTTGCCTGGCATTCTTGAGGAAGACAGAAAGGGTGCATTCATTGGAAGTAGGGTGCTTGAGTTTCCATCTGGCTGCCTCATTTACTCGTCTCCTCCTTTATAACACAGGGATTGTGGTAAAATCAAGCTCTTGGGGTGGTAGGAGTTCCACAAAATGTTGGATGAGGTATGCTTAGCAAAGTACTTAAAATTCACTTAGGCATTACAAAATGTTATTATGTAATATGCTAAGTGGACTTTTATTCCTTGTACTAACCTTGGGAGAATGGCAGAGTTCTGAAAGAGGTAAATTCTATAAGAACTCACTGATTCAAATCTTTGTCATTTGGTACATTTTACTTTATACAGAAAAGTGTACCCTTTTATTCATGGGCCCCAATGGAATTTGTGTATTTCTGGTAATTCTGAAAGTTCTATTATTATGCTCTCAAATCAAATCAAATCAAATCAATAATATACCTGATTGCCCAAACAAGTGCTTTTTAATTTGAGAGGTGGCTCCAAGAAACCTCACTGTGTTATAGTCTATTATAAATACTGAAAATATTTTGAGTGAAAAATGCTATTTTCACATAGAAATGTGGAAATTAAGAGTTTATTTTTATACCTGGTACAGTTAGAATTTTTTTTTTGTACCGGGGATTGAACTCCGGACCCTGTGTTTGGGAGGCAGGCAGTGGCACGACTGAGCTAAATCCCCAGCCCTAAAATTTGTTTTTTATAAATAGATTTGTTGTTGTGGTTGAATCCCTAGGGAGAATAATGAAGTATTTTATCTAAAGTGGAATTATTTGAAAACTATTAAAATATTGAGAAGGGTGGTATAATATTTAAAACATTTAGACATACTATATGATATGGCATCAGATTTCTGTAAGTAAAAATGTTCTGAAATATTTAGAGTCAAGATCATACTTAACATCTTTTCTCAATTGCCCAATATAAATTAATTTAGTTGACATAACTAAGATAGAAAATTGTCAAGATTTTTCTATGGTTCATTGAAAGTTAAGCTAATACAATATTTTATGGACTATACAGTAACTTTTAAAGCCACCACTTCATGAGGTAAGAAATGAAAAATTAATTTAATTATGGCAGTTGACTGAGTGGATTTAATTCTTTAGTCATTAATTATAACAAGAGGAATTTTTTTTCTTCCTGAAATATAGCTTAGTGATGGCAAATTCTGAGGTAAAACAAATGGTTTTGGAAAAAAAAATCAAAGAGAGTACTTCCAAGTTTAGTTTTTAATCACTCATAAACTATTAAAAGTTAATTTAGCTAGGAAGAACCCTGTCTGATTAAACATGTTTAACTTGATTCCAGTAGCTGGTCACCAGTGTAAATAGAAACTGCTGTAGAAGCCAAACACTGAATATGAAGTGAAAAGTAGAGTTAGATAGTTATGACTTTACATAACATTGAACACAAATAACTATTTCTGTCCTAAAAT